GAGAAGTCAAAGACGTGGGAAGGTAAGTCAGAGTCAATCGTCTTATCGAGCAGGACGACGACGAGTGCGTTGTGGACGTTCAGAAGCATCCGGCTGCTGCTGAAGGTCTGCCTCAGATGGAGCAGGCTCGACTTCAGCGGTCTCCTCAACTGGGGGAGAGGGAGGAGGGTCAGTGGGCTGAGGAGGAGCAATGAACCCAGCACGACGAGCACGGTCGTAGGCACGCACCAACATGCGAGCGTCCTGCAAGTGCTCGAGAGGCTCCCAGGTAGCCTCCTCATCAGGGTAACCCTTCCAACGTACGAGATACTCGACGTGGGGAGGGTTGTCGTCGGTGACTCGACGACCAATGATGTCTGAAACGAGGAATTCCTCGTGGTCGTCCACCATGATGGGTGGAGGGCGCTCGTATGGTCGCCCAGCGAAACGCTCAGACGGTCTGCGGTAAGGACGCAGTAACGAGACATGGTAGACATCGTGTACACGAGCCTAGCGTAGGTAGTCGGGCAACTTCACACTGAAGCTGACCGGGCTAGATGCCGTATCAGAACCGACGGCCTCGAGGATGCGGCATGGGCCAAAGAAGCGACGCCGAAACTTGCGAAGCGTGTCCGCTTCGAGCTGTAAGTGGCGGGTATCGATAAGCACATCATCACCGACTTTGAATGGATGGTCAATCCTCGATCAGTTCGCACGTGCTGCCATGCGAGTCTGAGAAGCGCCTGTGTGCTCTTGTGCGGTCTTCATGATCGACGTCATGTGTGCAACCCAATCATCCAACGCAGGACAACTCGTGTCGGGGCCCGCGCTTGCCGAGGGCGGTGATGCGGAGGTTGCGGGTCGCGTGGAGGCGGACTGACGGGTGAATCGTGCGGCGTTGGGGCAGTTGGTTTGTTGGTGCCCCAATTGGCGACAACGGAAGCAACCCCCTTTTGCTTGGAGGTAGGTGCGCTCCTCGGGGGTGAGTTTCTTGAGGCGGGAGGGTGGGGTAGATGAGGGTGGTCGGGAGTTGCGATCTCTGCGCTCCATTCTCATGAA